CTGTGGCAATGAGTTAATTTGTCACAATGCTCATGTGAATAAAGCTTATCTCCCTAAGGTCTAAATGTTCTGCCTGTTCTGATATTAGAAGCCCTAATAATCTTCTGCACTGTTTTCTATGACTACATAATGACAAGGTCTATCGGACTTTCAGTTGCATACTAGTAGCCCACTCCAGAATAACTGATTTAATTTTGTCTCATGTTCAGTGCAACTCTGTTGCATTTCAAATGCTTCTAAATGGGTTTCAGCATCATTAACAAAACAACAAAGTCCTATCATGAGCAACATGTTACTGTCAACTAGAAAATCCCTGTAAGACATAATCATGCAATATAATGATAAATATCCTAGACTCAACTGGAGTGACTATTAAAAAATGTACTTTAGCATGTCTTGTCTTGGTTTCCTCTCTTATTATTCCTGTAATATTTTAACATTACCTTCCTACCCACTGCCCTCCAAGGTCCCAGGAATCAACACCATTGGCTGCAGGTATTTCAGTGGACACTGTGCGACCTCCCACCCGATCTGCAGAAATGATTTATTCAGAGCATTTCCCACACTAAAAGAATTCAGTATAAAATGACTTACCATTTCAGGTTACCAATTGCTTCCAATCATGATACAATTGTACAAACCTTTTCCTTCCACTATCAGTATTCTCAACTTGGCATTCCGTTTTCTGAGCAAATGAGCTGCACTCAGTCCAGAAAGTCCGGCGCCAACAATAATAACGTCCCAAATTTCTGCAGTCATAGTCAGGCTCTAGTGACTAAGTTTTTTCTGCCAACTTAGCGTGTGCTGTTAAACCGTGGAGTCCAACTTGTGTTCCCTTTTCTTCTCCTTATCAATTAGGTTATCTTTCAAAGCCTGGGCTGCTTTCATAATAGTGCACTTTGGAACTGTGAAAAACTTGGAGCTTGTGACCTACTTGGCAGAGAATCGGCTGTGTAAATTCCAGCAATAAAAGCCAGGAGAAGGCTTTTGATTTTTCAACAGTAGAGACATTGTCAGATGTAAGTGCATTTGTAACACTAAATAAATAATGCAAATATTCAAAATATTAATGTAAACTCATCACTTATAATCTAGTAACTTATTCTGCAAGCAGTGGGTTTGTCATACCACTGTGGGTGGTAATTTTATGGAAATGTGTTTATATTTCAAATTATTATTGTTATTTTAATTATTATTTCAAATTTTTTGACATATGTGTGAGTGAATCTGAACTGAAGGCCACATTGGTCCACAATGACTTTTTAGCAACTTCTGCTTTAAGACAAAGAGTAAAAGTTATGTATTTCTGTATTTACAATTAAAAGATGTTGAAAATATATAAATGATGAACACAGAATGGAGTAATTAACAGTAAATCAGAAGTAAAATTATGTCAAGCTATTGCCAGTATGGCACAAAACAGTGCCATGCAAATTAAAAATAAATGGGAGTCTGAGATTGGAGAACATAGAATGAAACATGGAAGAAAATAAACCTTAACCCAATGAAATTATCTGGAGCTGGAGGAAGTGTAGAGAACAATCTTCAAACTACTTTCATGTTGGTTTTTTTTTGGTTATGTTCGAAGTTCATGAACTTCTGGACCAAAGTCGTTTTATAAATGGTGTTGTAGAAATATCCCTGCAAATGAATCCTAAGAATGCAGCACTAAGAGTATGTCTGAAAATTGGAGACACTCATGCTTATTAAATATTTTGGTTATGGCAAGGAAATGCATAACTGGACATTGCTTCAGCAAGGATACACATTCTACTCTCTAAGAGACTGTACATTAAAGGAAGTGTATCAAGTCGAAAGAATTACCTACAAACTGAAATTACAAACAAAAAACATTTGAAAAAGAAGGCACCCACTCATTAGAAATAGGCCAATGAAACAAAAAAAGTGAATGTTAATGTTGCAACATAAAGCATGTAAATAGAAACCAAAGCGGTTCCTATATGTGCCAAATATAATATGAATGAGGAGCACTACTCTATTCTATCTATCTCTATTCTATTATAACTGTTGATGTTATGAAACAAGAACTGTGACCTTGAGTTTTATGTGACTGATTCAGTTTCTCTCAGTTGGTTACAAAGTGACAAGGACATTCAGATCAAGGTGTGTAAGTGAGTCCAAAGAACTGATGAATTTATTTGAAAAAGGGTAATGAGATAATATAACACTCCTGTATTTATCCAAGCAGTGAAACTCCCTGATGTATTCACTCGGATTGGTCTTTTTCTAGCGCAACAAACATTAATTCTAAAGTAGGCATGAAGGTGTCTATCATGCCAAACTGCTTAGGCAAGGCCAAATACTCTAGCACTATGGTTACATATATTTTTATTTAAATGGTGATTATGATGATACGTGTGCTCTTGTGTGTTTTATTCAGATTTTGCGCTTGGTAAGAATGCTATCTCAATAGCCAGTAATTAGCTTCTGAATCCTGACTTGAGTTCAGTAGCTTCACTTTGGGATGGGTTTCAATGGCCTGTTCTGTTTTGGATTGGAACAGTTGTCTATCTGTACATCCAGCAGAAATGTATCAATTACAACATTCATTTGGAGTCCACCTGATGAATGTAGGTTGTAACAGTTCAACAGAGGAAGTCATCTCCACAATACTTCACACAACCCTGTCTCACCTTGACAACAACACCTACATGATGATATTGTTCATTGACAGAAACCCCTCTAAACTGGTCACCAAACTACCTTGGCATCAGCTCTTCCCTCTGTAACTGGACCCTGGACTTTCTAACCAACAAACCCCAGTCTGTGAGGTTGGACAACCACAGCTCTTCCACTCTGGCCCTGAATACTGGAGTCCCTCAGGGCTGTATGCTGAGCCCTCTTCAACACCATTATAAAGTTTACTGGTGAGACTGAGGAGAAGGGCCTTATCAGCATCAACAATGACACAGTCTGCAAGCTCCCAGTTCCCCACCATCATGGACATCCAATGCAAGCAATACTTGCGGAGAGCATACTCCACAACATACAGTATGTTAGCAGTGTATATAACGTAGCCGCATACACCAGCACAAGGAAACGTTGTATACTGACAGCAAAGTGGAATCTAGTCTAACATAATCTGACTTTGTCCATCTGATGTGCTTGACGGATAGCATACAGGTTTGTTCAAATGGTTCCATTTCTTCATATAACAGTACTTAGGAAAACATGAGGAGTATCAGTTTCATGCTTTTAAAGCTCTTAAATGTAACTTCTCCATGCAAATTCCACCTCATTCAAAGACAAATATTGCTTTCCTGAACTGAACCGTTCAAATTTTGAAAAGAGTGGGTGTGTGGGGTCAGAGCTGTTTTTTAGATGGATCTGGCTCTGGCTCTGACAGCACTGCTTTAGCAGCTGGTGGCTTTAAATATAAATGTTTTCAGCACTCCTTAACAGTCCACCAATGGCTTAAAAACGCATACGGGAATAACCCTATAATCCAAAACACCTTGTGGGTTTGGTCTCGGGTGTTATCAATATTGAAAGCCCCTAAAATATACCTGGACACTTCAGTATGCTCTAATCATGCATTTAGACCAGGTCTTGGGGACCCGGTCTTCACCACTAGGAGGGAGAAGGTTATCATCTTTCTAAGAGATTTCTATATTAATGATAACCTTGTCTCTTTTCAGCAACGGCAGCAGACATTTCAGCTCCTGACTTCTCATTTCTTTCTGTTTTTTACAATTGCAACACTTTTTAAAGGATCATGTCCCATAAAATGCTACTTACCAGATTATAAAATATAATAAAGACGCCATGTCTAATTTTTACATCATTCTACAACCTTTATTCAAACAGTACTTCACCCCGCTGTGTGTCATTTCTAGGGTCATTGTATATATGAAGCTCAGGCCATCTCTATATACTTTTTTGACTGTTTCAGAAATTCTGAAAACTTGTTGTTAGTCCTTATAAAGAAATCAGAGTGAATGGTCAAAGGTTTAACAGCGTAACTTTGGTATATGTCAATACTCATGTCATAATAATTTGTTTTGCTGTATTTCTATACCATATATATATATATATATGTTTTTCAATCAAGAATTGCCCAAAGCATTTAAAATAAATGTGGTGACTACAAGAGAGTTATACAACTGGAGATAAAATTCTTTATCCTTTATCGCTGATCTATTTTCTGCATGTTTCTGCTGAAGGACACCCAGCCGTTTCTCACTTATAAAGGCAGTTTTCTTGTAGATTTGGCACAGAGCTAAGCTTTGCAGTTTTTTACAGACAGCCTGGTTATATATACAAACCTTGCTGGCTCATGTTTTTGGCTGTGCAACCAGTTTCTTGTCACTTGAGACTTCAAATTCTCTCTTTGTCTTCCTTATTATTTGAAACCACAGACATCTAACAAATGAAAGGTTTTTAAGGGATGTATTGTGTATGCAACAAATTAGAGGGCGGGTGCAGTTGCTGTGTGTTTTCTTATGCAGGTGAAGTCAGATGATTTTCTATTTATTTTCAAGTTAAAATGTTTGACTGAATTATTTTGTTTGTTTTCATCCAAATCATTTAAAAGTTAAGTTAATGACCAATGTGACCATTTCCAGACAGGCATACAGACAAACAAACAAGTAAATATGTCTGACTATAGACACAGCGGCATAGTTTTGAAGATTTTTTGCTTTCAGTGCAGTTCAGTGCTCATCAAATTAACACCCTGATTTTCCAGCCACCTCATGCGAAACCCCATCAAATTGTGGGATTGCTCCTCCAGTTTCACTTGTTTAAGCAGGGATTACTGTGGATTGTGGTTGTGGTAATGATAAAGCATTTGGGAAAGTTATAGGATGTTAAAGGCAATATTAACAGCTGAATAGCAATACCAAGTAAACATCCTAAACAGGTAAAACAGGTACTTTTGATCTGATTTAACCATCCAATCAGAAGGTTTTATGGTAATAAAGGGGAAGTAAAGGAGGAGCTTCCTGTAGCAGGCAGCACACTATTACTTTGTATTCCGTTGCCAGACATTTGGATGTAGTATCTGCATTCAGGTAATAGCAATATATAAACTTGCTTTTAAATTTTTTATAAATTTGTCTGTAAGCTCACAGTTCCTACCAGTTGAGAATATGTCAATAAACTGTATTTTGTACATGTAAAGACACTGTATTTTCTGTCTGTTTGTCTGTTCTGTCTCAGTCTTTTTAACCACTTGCTCTTAATGGCTTTATTTTAAACAGGGCCACTATGTTCAGACACAGCTGCAGTCGTTTGAGGTTGGCTTTCTTCCTCAGTTGTCCACCTTGGTTGTCCGCCTTCTTCTTATTCACTGCAAGTCTCTTGAGCACAGGTAACAATACAGACACACAAGCCCTTGTTATCTAGTACACTGTATTGGTACTGTGTAGCTTGGTATGGAATGAAGCATCTCTCATTGAGACCTTCATTTCTCTTCCCTGTTGAACGCTGCTGAGCTGTAGGCCTCAGTGGTGTAAGCTTCCCCGTGTGTTACCATGGCGTTCACTATCTGTCCAATCAAGATTTGAGATTATGCCTCCAGATGATTGTTGACTCCCTAATGTTCCAGGGATTTGAGCTCATATGTTTTTTTTTTCTTCAGGGCGGGGCTCTTAATAGACTGAGCTGCACACATCTAGTTTGAAAAAAGTATATTTGGAAAATATTCGTTATGGAAAGAGTATTAAGTAGTATTATTGTTTCTTACATTAATACATACATGTAACAGCTGGAATAAGAGCACTGGCACTGTACAGTTAGTTACACTAATTATCTTTCATTTTATAATTGTTACACTTTTAATATAAAAAAATACACTTCTAATGCTAAACTGAACACTTGAATCTCTGAGCAGCATAATTATTGAGTCCCTGTGGGCCACATACATTGAAAAGCCCGTTCCAGTCTAATTCTAGGTCTCTTATTAAGTGTGCACTTACATTTATTTCTGATCTTGATCTATCTTAATGGATCATGCTTTATTTAGTACTTTATTGTCCAAACTGAATCAGGAAAATAGGTTTTTCATTATACTCCCTTCTAATGGAGTTATTTCAAGACATTTTCAAACCATAAAATCTAGTTTCTCTTATTAAGCTTAAGAAAACAGTAAAAAGCTGCTTTGTGTTCGCTTTGCTAAGAGATATATACATACTTCCCTGTGATTACATTTATTTTTATTTTTCTGCCAATGGAGCTCTTTCTTTGTAACTAGCCCATAAAGTAATTCCACTAAGTCATTTTTATATTCCTGTGTGCATTTGACTCCAACTATTATGTTTGTGTTTTTCTTGCTTTCTAAGGCCAGGCTTTATTTGAGAAAATAATATGAATCAATATTAAATGTATAAAACTGTGTGCATGGAAAGCGTACACTCTGGCTCAACGACAAAAAGATTTTCTTGAATGAGAATATGTCACGTTTATCCTTGAGGATTACAATGATTTTTTTAAGAAACAGCAAATATGTGTCTGTGATTAATTTTAAGACTTCATTTCCTAAGAATTGAAATCCACACGTGGGGTGCAGGTGACGTCCACCGGCACACAGACCATCCAAAAGGCAGAAGGAGAGAGTGTGACTCTGGGCTGCAGTTACACACTGAGCCCTTTGGACACTGGAGAACTTGACATTGAATGGTCTTTGGTCAGTCAAGACACCACGCAGAAAGATCAGATGGTAAGAAGCAGAATGAGAATGGTGCAAATTATATTATTGTTGTGTACATAGGGTCTGATATAAAGTATGGGGATTATAAAGCAGAATTTGAATTCACTTGGTGTATGCTAAGACACCCTTTGTGTGTGTGTGTTTCTAAAGTTAAATAACAACAACATTCCAATACTTCCAAGACCATGTTATTTGGTTAAAAAAAATGTGGGGAAAATAAAAAGATCCTAGAAATGAAACATCAATGTATCCATTCATTATTGATTTATTCTTTGTTGAAAACTTTATTTCTCATACAGTACATGTTGATGATGTACCTTGCCTGTATTTTTGTTTCTTCAGCTGACCTGTTGTGTGCACTGGCTGAAAAGGCTGTGCAAGCAATTCATTTGAATTAATAAATTAGAAGTCTACAAATTAAATGCTGTCAGAATTAGCACCAAATTACCAAGTTCTTTCCAGGAAATGACAGTTATGGACCTGTAAAATGATCGAGTTCTTTAACATCACCACCGTATTTGAGTTAATTAGTATTCAGAACACAATTAGGTCAAGACAAAGCTTAGAAACCTGTAAATATAAGCATTATTACACATACCATAATGACATATTTAAAATATCCAATTCAAAAAACACTTACTAAATTATTCATATTCAAAGTATTCTCATCTTCATTTTGCTTGTGCATCTACAAGTCTAAATGAGAAATTGGTCCAGGAGACTACTGTGTGGATGAACACCACCATTTTCACAGGAATTTTTTTTTATTTGCTTTTTAAATTAAATGAGTCATTAGAGTTGGAGACTTGAAGGCATATTTTTTCTACCCTTAGGCAACAGACATTTGATCACAATCACTCTAAGGTTCGTCAAGTTCCAGTATGTGCTGCTTTAGATAAGTGATCAGTGCAGATTATTGGTTCTTGTGCAAACTGAATGCTTTGCACTGCAGCCAAACACTTAAACAGTTCCAGCTCTTTATTCTAATTATTTATCACCTGCTAGCTTAAAGCTGCCATAATTGATTTTATGCTATTATTATATATACTAACAGTTGCCTATTTACACATCCATCAGACAGGAAACATTATCCAGTAACACACAGATCAACACTGGTGTTCATTTGGGCCAGTGTTTCTGTCCTCCTGATCACTGTGAGTCCACTATATGCTGTTCTTTATCTCTGGGGTTAGGTTTCCATGAACATAGGTTTTTTTAACTGCTACATATTCCACTTTCTTCACCAGTAAGTCATTAACTAGAAGTGTACAGTGGATGTATGAGAGCTGCTGAAATCAGCTTCCTGACTAAACCAAACAGAAAATTTATAAACAATGAGCTAAAACAGGCTAAAAAACTCCAGGGTGTTAATTCTAGGTGTGTGTCACTGCGAGGTAACCCTTATTAGCTATTCAGAATTGATGGCATAAATATTTAATGCACATTTAATTGGTTAACATCAATTAAAACTATCATTCATAGTCCTTTGTTCACTCTTTGTTGAATCTGTCTTTTTATTTTGTTTTCAATCAGCTCCTATCCTATACCAGCGGCACTAAATACATCCATGGTGACCACGCTCCTACACAAGGACTCAGCTTTGCTGCTCAGGACCCCTCAATGGGTGACGCTTCACTCTCAATTGCTCAGCTGTCACCTGCTCATAGTGCAACGTACCAGTGTAAAGTGAAGAAATCACCTGGAGTGGACATGCACAAGGTGTCACTGGTGGTAATGGGTAAGACTGGTTCATGTGTACTGTATTTTTAAAATGGATGGAGGGTTGTTGTGATGATAATGTTTTTGATAACTATCAAAGGTGCTGTAGAATGGAAAACAGTATTTACATCAGCAACAAAAGAGAGTTCAGGACATGAAAATGACATACTTCCTACTTCATATGTAAATCTTGCACATGCAAATGACCCTAGAAAAACAGGTGAATGCAAACAAACAGTAGATGTTACATAGCATCTGGGATTATTAAATTTAAATATACCAGCCCGAGTTCCAGAGAAGCGGTCGAATGAGCTCATCGACATGGAGGTTGTTTTGTATGAACAGAAAGTGCTTTTATGGCTATGAAGCCACAGTAAATATTTTCTGGGTTTCCCTCTGATGTCCTCAGATTGCTCTGCCTCAACTCTGTGATTTATGAAGTTTCCTGATGAACAGATTTACTTGTTGCTAATGCTACAGTAACTGCTAGCTGTTGCTAATGGTAGCTGCTGTTACCTGACTTCCGGTGACATCTGACTTCTCGTGCCACAGAAAGTGGCAGCACGACACAGCAGCTCCCTCTTACTTTTCCTAGTTTTTAACCTTTCTTATATTTTAACTTTTTACTTATGCACTAATTGACACTTTATTTATTTGCACATTCTAGCCTTTTTCTTTTGTAAATAGGACTACGTTACACAAACAATGGACACAGCGACCACCAAACAACGAAACACCGGAGTCTACTCATGTGAAGAGCTCTTACAGCATCGGGATCGACCTGTTGCATGTCCAAATGAGATCCCAGTGAAGTTAAGGATAAGAAGATGAGGATGTCGTGCTGGCATGACGGTGAGGAACAAGAAGACGGGGAGTCAGTGGAGATACAAGCCATGTCTTCCCTTGGTCGTCATGGGGAACTTCTGCTCACTGACGAACAAGATGGATGAACTCTCGGCTCTGGTCAGCTGGCAGCGAGAGTATCGGGAGTGCCGCATGTTATGTCTGACTAAAACTTGGCTGAATGGGAAAACACCAGATTGCTCAGTGGAACTAGTTCGAGCAGATAGGAAGAAACAGAGTGGTAAGAAGTTGGAAGGAGGACTTGCTGTATCCAAATGGTGTAACCCAGGACATGTTACCACAAAGGCAGAAATCTGCACGCCGGATGTTTAGGTGCTGGCTGTCGGGTTGAGACAATACTTACCTGCCTCAAGAGATCTGAGACGCCATTGCCATCACTGTTTATATTTCAACGTTGGCAGTGGCGGCGCACGCTTGTGACGTCATCCATGGGCGAAGGCTTTTGCGTCGCCGGCAGCACCCACTCCAGCTCACCTCCCCCTCCTAACGAACAGCTCTCTTATCTGCCCTCCCTCCCCTCCATCTAAATGTTCTCCCTCCACAACCCTTCCTCTGCCTTCCCCCCTCCCGTTTCTCCCCTCCCCTCCGCTCCCCTGCCCCTGCACCCCAGTCATCACAACCAGGATCAACCCGGACATCAGGTTCTGTAAGGACAGGATCATCCCCACCAAAAGGATATGTTGCTTCCCCAAAAACAAGCCCTAGATCAATAGAGACATCATATCTCTGTTGAGCAAGAAAAAGATTGCTTTCACGGCATGGTACAATGAAGAGGCCAAGAAAGCAATCCAGAGGGAGCTGAAGAGAGAGCCGAGGTGGGCTAAGGATTCAGGGGAAGCTACAGCAGAACAACAGCAATGAGGTGTTGGGGGGGGGGGGGCATCACAGGTATGACCAGACCAGCAGGAGCAGCTTAGGGGACAAAGGGCCGAGCCAACGAGTTAAACCAGTTTTCCAACAGGTTTGACTTAACCACGCTCTCCCCACCTCCTCAAGTAGCCTTCAACTTTCTTTAGCAAATATCTCCATTCTTCTTGCTAATGTTGAATCTGAATTAAATGTTGGGTAATTTTTGGTCTCTGTAAATTATATTAAACAGAGTGCTCTCTAGATCTTCTTTATATAAAAAGTGCAATGAGATGACTTTTGTTATGAATTGGCGCTATATAGATAAAACTGAATACATTTGAAATAACAAACCTGGATTTAAACATTTACCTAGCCAGGTAAAACTCCTGAATTCCACAGTGAAAACAAATATTGTGCTTATTGTAGAAAGACTCATAAAATACTTAAAATGAAATAATAAACTTTATATTGATGTCAAAATGTGTATCTACAATAACTAATCCTCAGTTTCACTGCTCATGCCTAAGCACCAGTGTTGGATAGCAATTACATAAAATATAAAATTATATAATGATAATGAAATGACAGGACGGGCTCTCAGCTAGCTAACATCAGATAGCTCATTTGAAGTTAAATAAATGCTAATTACAAAACTCTGAAGGTAGGAAAGTTAAGTGTATTAAAGCAGCTAGATAGCTCACTACTGACATTAACTTACAGCATCTCCATTAGTGTGTGATGCGCTGGACTGGAGCAGCTGCTGCTGCGAGTGATGCAGACGGAGAAGACGTTCAATTAACGTCAAGGTTAGGAAATGGTACGGTCCATTATAGGGGTGTCAGAAAATGTACTTCCGGGTTCTTGAATATAAGGCATGAGTATGGGAAATATTTTGTAATATTTGTAATAAGAAAGAAAGTAAGAAAGACCCCACTGAACTGTTGTTTTTGCCTCTTTTGGAGGGGTGCAAGCCTTAATTATGGGGGTCAAACCCCCCCCCAATCTGCCCCCGTAATTTGAACCATGGCCGCACGGCTAACTGTGTAGCTAACAGCAGATGATGATAGCAGTAGTTAGCAGCTAAAGTAACTGGTCACATACAAACTCCATAAATCACCAAAAGTGGAGACAGAGCAGCCAGAGGACATCAGGTGGGAAACCAGACAATATTTTCACCATCAAATCTGATCCAGTTTCACTAAAATCAGTGAATAAAGTTATGAAGTTTTTGTTCAGTAATGAGTGAGACCAATTTTCATATAGCAGGCTTTAATTCAGCTGTGCAGCTAGGCCCCGCCCTTCTTCTGTACTCGGACAAGGTGGCCAATCAGAAGCAAGTGGGCTTTTAACTGCCGTTTCTGGTGAACGTTCTTTCAGAGAATGGGGGTGAGGTTAATAGTCGGACATAATACATTACCATGACAACCAAAAACTGACCGGCTGGAGTGTTCACTAACGATATGCTGTGTTAACATCACTACACTGTAAAGTTTAGTACACTTTACTGTCTGGCAGGAGTAGCTATTACTTACCCATGACAGAAACTAATGTGCGCGTATCAGCTGTTATCATACAGTCGATGGTCCTGTCACATACTGCACATGATAACTCCCACTACGTTTTATGGTGCGCTTACTTTACCGCGGGGGTGTGGGGGTCTATTACTCTGTTGAACTGTATGTAAAGACTTCTGATGCCATTACCTCCGCCGATGTAAAATGCGGCCATCAGTAAAATGCATGTTGCAGACTGTATATAAGATGGTGGCGGGTGAAAGTGTGACGCGTTTTCTGTCATCTGTCCTCCAACACGCACAAATGCCAAAATGAAAATGAACAGCACACTAAACCAAGAGGAGGAAACTAAAAAATAAAATGAAGATCCTCTGTTAGCTAACTTTCTGCAATAACTATGCTAGCTAACTACACCTGGCTAACTACAACTTACTTAACTTAGCTAACTAAACTAGAAAGACAAACCAACAATCAGACACAAAGAGACACACCTACTGTAAGTTCTTAGTAATTACATGATAATTTGGTTACAGTAGCTAGCTCACAACCATGTTTATCAGTTTGATGCTCTGACTTAACGAGGCGTGATGGCGTGACAGTTTTTTAACGAGGCATGACGGTGCGCCTGCGCAAACTTGGAGAATTATGTTTGACTTATGGAATTACTATAGTCATACGTCACTACCCCATTTTAACAACTAAGCAACTTTTGCAACTTTGAGCACAAAAGTAAGCTATTTGTCAAAAAATATTTGGCGAACTATGTGGATAATCAACATTGTAAGGAAGTGACTCAGAAAAATATAAAATATCATAGAAATGTCAAAATACACTGGAGGGGGGCTTTAATGGAAGGGGGCAGAAGCTAAAATGGAATGTTCACAGAGAGGGTGAAAAGAGGTGCTGAAGCAGTGAACATTTTGAGAAAAATAATGTTTGTCAGACAACACAGAGAAGTACAGACCATATCAACTCGACAGCAGCTACAGCCCACAAACACACACATTAAAGCAATGAGACAACCTGCATACACTGCTCCGCATAGCGAGCACACCACACACACACATAAAACTACGTTGCTAGGCAACACTGTGGTTGTTGATGTTCTCCTCTGGAGAGAGGGTTACATCTATCATTGAGTTTGTTATTGTACTCCTCAATCTGCTCTGGTAGCAACTTCTCTGCTTGTTAAGTTTATTCACACTATACATAACACGACCAGTCCAACCTCTCTTCTCCCACTGAGCTTTACAGCGAAAACTTTTGAGCTGAACGAGCGCTCACCAGTGACCACTTTGTCAGAGATTTATCAAAAACAGCAGAAAGACCTCAGACACCTCACTGAATGTAGAATTTCCTCAGAAAATGTAGAAGTCACAGCTAGAGAATCCAGCATGAGCAGGTTCAGTAGATCCAGCATGCACCCATGAGTCATAATAGTAATTTTGTTACAGTGAGGAGAGTAAATATAATTTGTTACTACATCTTAATTAGTGGAGCCTAGTTTTGTTAATAAACGGATGTCAGTGAGAACAAAGATAATAATGGCTTTCATTGTTTTGTTCTGGTAAAGAAGAAAGTACTCCCTAAATTCAGGACAAATATTATAATATTATTATATTATATTATTTATATTATTTCTTCATAAGACTAGACTGAACTTAATTACACACTGCAGTTAGCTAAAGAAATTATTCCGTACTGAGCACATAAAACCAGATTTGTTTTAAGCCGTCAACCTTTTCTTGTTGGATTAGGTGGACACAGTTGATTACTCATTTAAAGGTGGATATGCGATTCTAAACCAATACACGTCTTTATGTCAAATTCAGTGACTATCTCCTCACATTCTGCTGGCTGTCCTTTCTGTGTGTGAGCTGAAAAAAACCTGGTGTTTGTACACAGCCCTGGCTCAACACTATTCCAGCCATGATTTGTCCGTCAGGTAACATTAAATGACTTGCCTACGGACTTTCAGATTAGTTTCTGGTTTTCCAAGACATGCTGTTGTTAGGTATGGTAGCAGGAGAGTTGTGAGTATCGCTCTCTGTAGCTGGTGTGCTGGCTCTGTGAAACCGCCTCATCCTCTCTGCATGTTAGCTTCTCAGCTGCAACTGTAGCAACCCACAACCTAGCTGTCATACTTGCTGTGTCGTTGTTCTGTATCATGGTATTTGCAATGGAACTGGATTTTTCCAGAATCGCTTACCCTACCTTCACTGTGACTAAAGTAATGTAAAATTTACCTTAATATTATAGATATGTTTGCTTTTAAGTGACCTGAACAGCCAAATCTCGCCAACTTAGTGCAACATTGACACTGAAACCAGTAAACCTACATTTAGCTCAGCCTGGGTCCTTCCACCATCATCTCCAAGCACCATTCAAATGTCCAAGTGTTTAAAGCATAGAGAGTTTGGAGCGTTTTCAGCAAATCATTTCACAGAAGAAACTGATTTACTTTTAAGGTCTTCTCTTTCACACAAATCGGTAAAAACAAAAGCAGCATTAGATGAAATCAACTCCCCCCTAATGAAAACCAGCTGATATCCGAAGCAACGTCTCACATATCAGTAGACAGCCTAAAGCTGTTACAAGCAACACAGGCAGTCCTGAGAACCAACAGGTCATTTTATAGTTCAGGTTCTTTGTATGATCCGGAGAAGGAAAAGTTGTTTAGAAACTGCAGAAATGAATGGATGGGTATAGGATTCCTGCTTTTATTATGTAAGCAGAAAAAGAACACTCTTAATTGACAGAAATGTTGTGGTTTTAAATGACCCTTCATGTCTAACATAATCGATCTCACCTTAATTGCAACCAATTTTTCACCTTTTTAAAACAGCCCAGTACTCCACGTGTCTGCTTTCTCATCTTTAACTCATCAAGCCTTTATTACACAATATAAATCTATATTTGAATATAGATTTTAAATGTGTAATGAAGGCATGTTTTTTTGCAACTCATACATTTTATTGGATTTTTCAGTGGTAAAATGCATCATGTTGTTGGTATAACCCATCTATATGTTGTGAATATGTGTTATTAAAGCCAGAATCAAAATGGTTCCTGCAATTTCATCCTGAAACTATAAAGCCGTACAGTTTTTCAAGAAGTGGAATGGAAATGGCAGCGTGAAATTATCCGTTTGTTGCATGATTTCAGCGAGGCCGTCTGTGCCTAAATGCTGGGTGGAGGGAGGGGAGCTGATCGGAGAGGCTGTGTCTCTGCACTGCAAGTCTGCAAAAGGTTCCCCTCCCTTAAAATACACATGGAGGAGAGAAAGTGCAGGCCCCATCCCTGCTGCAGCCACACAGAGTAAGTGTGACCTCTGCTGACGTCATAATGCTACTACACATCAAAGACACATCGCGTGCGTGTATGTGTGTGTGTTGGGGTGGGGGTTGGGAAAAGGTGTTACTTTAGGATCTAATTCTGTGTGAGCAAAATTCAGTGAAAACCCTTTTTCTTGTTGAATGAACAGTACATGCTTATTTCTATTTAGGCATTTATCAGGCATTTTATTCAGAATTGTGAAATTGTATGACAGTGATAGGCAATCTAGGTGAATACCTGAAATAATGATTTGAGAACACAACACTCACATTCTACTTACTTAGAGGGACTCTTGTGCATAATCAGCAGATCATTTGCATTTTCTCCCCATTTCCATTTCACTCTTTTCAATGCAAAATATTTCCTGAAATGTTTTTGACACCGTATACAGTAAACTGCACTTATCAGTGTCGTCTTGCAGCCGGAGACACAACACATTTTGGCTGCATGCAGACAGAAAATCTGTTTGAGCAGATCTTCTTCTCCTAGAAAATCTTCACAATTTAAAAGCATAATTTATACAAACCACAAACCATGAGCCTTTGGAATGTGTCACTTTAACTTATCTACTTGTACAGAAACCTCTTATCATCCCTATGTGATATATTTTCATTGTAGCCCCTTGTATGTATATACAGTATATGTAAAGTATATGTACAGTACATGTGTTAATGTCTGTTTGCGGCTGTGCACGTGTGTGTGTGTGTGTGTTCTCTCAGTCAGTGTGACTGGGGAGGTGAAAATCAGCAACCACTCGAAGAGCCTTGCAGGATTCTATCTTTGTGAGGTGAACAACGCTGTTGGAGCCGAACACTGCAGGATCAACCTGAAAGCAAACAAACGTAAAGGAACACACGCTCACACAGAATGTGCAACATACATCACGTGTGACCCACACCCACGCGATCATGAAAGACCTAGACATCATCTTCTTCTCTCTTTGTAGTTATGCTGCAGTCTCCCCACTGCTTCACCTCTCACACATAGTGTTTTAACCAAGGTGCTGCGTGGATATGTGTGTGGAAACATCAGTGTGTTATCCTTATCCTTATGCTGTCTAATGATGACAGGAGAAGGCCATAGTCAATGGCAAAAAAAATCGCTCTATTGACAGAAGACAAATCTGCTCTTTATCACTGTCTTGCTCAGTCACAAATGAGTAATACTGAAATGGCTCTGCTGGTTTGTTTATCAACAGGCCCCTTTAGCTTTATGAAGTATAGATGAAACAAGGAAAAGGCAGCAACAGAAAATAGTTAGACTTATTAAAAGCACCTCATCAGTCTTGTTTAGTTGGCAAAGTGTGAAAATAGAGGGAATGTAAAATGTCCTGAATGTCCTGAGGGCAGTCGATGTACAGTAATACCTCTGAACAGCTCTGAACAAGACAGGAAGTAGAGGAATACCAGAGCTGTCTCACAGGGAATCAATCTGGTGACTGTAAGTGCACCAGTAGGGAGTACAGTCAATGATTCAGCATACCATTATGGAATAAATCACCTGTGGGTTTAGACTCAAACAAGGCCTCTCCATTCTGGGGATCCATAAAAAAGAGTTTTCCTTTGTGTGCCTCATGATCTGTGGAGCAGGCCTGACATATTACATATTGCTGAGTCCATAACTTCCGGTCTTAGTGCTCAGATTTCTCGCTTTAGGCAGGGAATCACTTCAAATGCGGGGCGCTGTCCCAGCCCAGAGGTTCCCACCCTTAGACTCCAAGATGATTTACAAGATATATATCAAATTACATCAAGATTGCTGTACAGAATTCACATTACTTTTTTCCAATGTTTCATTTTTTTTGTGATATATTGGATTATTTTACTTGTTTGGGCATTTAAAAATATTTTAATGCAACACTGTGAGAAGAGAATATCACTTTTTATTCCACCATGGGTATGGGTTTAGACAATTCTCATATATTTAGGGCAAATTTAAGGCCATAGAATTACTGAAAAGATGCACTGTCACAACGCCTTAAAGGAATAGACACTTAAAATATATGGGAATATATATGGGAAATATGCGCATCCGTTGTCTTCGCGGTGAACCAGATATAATGTGTTCATTAGTTAGCTTTAGAGGTACTAGTTGGCAAACGTTATTAGCTCTGGACAGAGCCAGATATTTCCTTGTTTTCATTTTTTGTACTAAACTTAAGGTAGCTTCATATTTAGCAGATGAGTGTGGCACTGATCCTCTCATCTAACTCTCGGCAAGAAAGCAGATAAGCCTAAAATGTTGAACTACTCATTAAAAATATTTCATGAAATTCATGAAAATGATTTCATTTTGGAAATAATCCATTTTCATCTATTTTCCATTGTCCATTTTCATTGGACAGTGATATGAGGCATTGTGAGAGGACATGATTTAACTTTAAAGGGTCACAAGCCAAAAAAGCCAGGAACCGCTACACTAGACAATATAATTATTAAAGTATAATGACTTTTTTTATACACTTTGTTCTATTCTGTTATTCCTACTGATTTTACAGCTCCAAACAGAGCAGCAGTGATAGGCGGCACCATTGTGGGTTCTTTGCTCCTCATCTTCATCCTGCTGGTCTTCATAGTGCTTCTGTACTGGAAACTGAGCCACATACATCGCTGTGGGAAAGATTTCTCCAATGAGATCAGGTACTGTACGGCACTGCAGCTCAGACAGCAAGGCACAATTAAAGGTGTTGGGAGCTTGATGGTTAGATAACTGAGCTGGTGGGAAGTGGGAAGAAATCCACACTCTGTCTTATCACTAAAATGTCCCATGAGAAAGAAACTTCTGCCTCTGTTAGTGTTGAGTAATTATGTCGGCTTAAAACATGTTGGTGTGCACTTGCACGGGTTTTATATCTACATAAATTAGTAATAATAAGATGTTTTTGGCCTAACAATGGAAAACTTAAAAAAGGAGAACAACATAAACTTAAAAGACAGAGAGGCAATTATAATGTTGTATTACAGGATATAAAACAGCACATATCAAAGCCATTCAGATAAAAATAGAAAAAAAATCCCAGACTTGCATTAAAACCAAGAAAGAAACAAATACAGACAGAGACAATAATGTTCTCTTGAAGACTCTTTGAGATTGTAGGTGTAACTTCTCTTAGACTTGCAGCATCAATATACAGTTTATTAAATCTTGGAGTGACGTTGAAAAGTGACATTTCAGAGTTTATGACTTCAAAACATTGCCGCACACAGCCACCGGCAATAGTTCTCTCCAATGTGCGCTCACTGTGCAACAAACTGTACGAACTTCAGCTACTGGTGGGGAAAAACATCTTCTGTTCTGTGCTTCACGGAGACGTGGCTGTGTGGATCAATACCGAACTCTGCGCTGCAGCTGGCTGGCTTCCAACTCTACAGAGTGGATTGTGACACAGAACTCAAAACAAAAGGTGGAGGTATCCGTTTTTATATTAACAATGGCTGGTGTACCAACGTGACAGTTATTCAGCAGCACTGTTCTCCTAATCTGGAATTTTTAATCATAAACTGTAAACCGTTTTACTCCCCCCGTGAGTTTGCTTCATTCATTCTGGTTGGTGCTTACATTCTGCCGCACACCAACGTGCACGACGCACAGCGCATGCTGGCCGACCAGATACTGTGTGTGGAGCAGACAAAGACTCCCTTGTTATTGTTCTCGGTGACTTTAACAAAGGAAATCTCTGCCAAGAACTCCCCAAATACAGACAGTTTATATGCCTATCACGCCGTCACACACGCTCCACTGGGACACTCTGATCACGTCATGGTCCACCTGAATCCTGCTTACAGACCTGTAGTGAGGACATCAAAGAAATGGACCAGTGAAGCTGTAGAGGATCTTCAGGCATGCTTGGACTGCACTAACTGGGATGTTTTTTAGGACTGCTACCAACAATCTGGATGAGTTTACAGAGACTGTGACGTCCTACATCAGCTCCCGTGAAGACAGCTGCATTCCAACACGCACCAGGGTGAGTTATAACAATGACAAACCCTGGTTCACAGCTAAGCTCAGACAGCTGAGGTTGGAAAAGGAAGAGGCGTTTAGGAGTGGAGACCGGGCCAGGTTTAAGGAGTCAAAGTACAGGTTTAGCAAGGCGGTGCGAGATGCTAAACAGCTGTACACAGAGCGACTGCAACACCAGTTCTGAAGGAATGACTCTGCTTCTGTCTGGAAAGGATTCAGACAGATCACCAGCTACAAACCTGAATCCCCCCACTCCATACTACCAACGACTCACGCCTTGCCAACGAGTGTACCAGTTTTACTGTCGGTTTGAAAGACAATGGGACAGACCTGACACCATCCCCCGTCACACCACTGACCGGCCACAGTCCACCATCTCATCCCCCACCTTCTGCCCCTCTCTTACCATCCTAGAGAGGGACGTCAACAGACTGTTCAGGAGGCAGAAACCCCGCAAAGCAGCTGGGCCGGACTCTGTCTCCCCATCCACCTTGAAGCACTGTGCTGATCAGCTGTCTCCGGTGTTCACAGACATTTTTAACACCTCACTGGAGTCATGCCATGTGCCAGCCTGCTTCAAAGCCTCCACCATCATCCCTGTCCCCAAGAAACCAAGGACCACTGGACTAAACGACTACAGACCCGTCGCCGGTAATCAAGTCTTTTAAGCGCCTTGCGTTGTCCCACCTTAAATCCATTACAGACCCACTCCTGGACCCCCTGCAGTTCGCCTACAGAGCCAACGGGTTTGTAGATGATGCAGTAAACATCGCCCTTCACTACATCCTCCAGCGCCTGGACTCCCCAGGAGCCTACGCCAGGATCATGTTTGTGGACAGATGCGCTCTGCTTTCAACACCATCATCCTGGCCCTGCTGCAGGACAAGCTCTCCCAGCTGAACATGCCTGACTCCACCTGCAGGTGGATCACAGACCCAGATCCAGGACTATCAGCACCAGTTCCCCTCGAGGGTACGTTCTTTCCTCCCTTCTCTTCTCCCTGTACACCAACAGCTGCACCTCCTCGTCTGTCAAGCTCCTGAAGTTTGCGGACGACACCACCCTCAGTGGGCTCATCAGACTGACCATCTGCTGACCTGGTGCAGCCAGAGCAGTCAGGAGCTCAAGGCTCTGAAGACAGTGGAGATGGTCGTGGACTTCAGGAAGAGCACAGCCCCACCCTCCCCCATCATCCTGTGTGACTCCCCCATCACCACTGTGGACTCCTTCCGCTTCCTGGGCACCAGCATCTACCAGGACCTCAAGTGGGAACTGAACCTCACCTCCCTCACCAAGAAGGCCCAGCAGAGGATGTACTTCATGTGGCAGCTGAAGAAGTTCAGCCTACCAAAGACAATGATAGTGCACTTCTACACCCCCATCATTGAGTCCATCCTCACCTCCTCCATCACCATCTGGTACGCTGCTGCCACTGCCAGGGAAGGGCAGGCTGCTGTGTATCATTTGCTGGGCAGAGAAGGTGATTAGCGGCAATCTTCCTTCTCTTCAGTACCTGTACGCCTCCAGGACTCTGAGGAGAGCAGGAAAGATTGCAGTTGACGCCTCCCATCCCGGTCACAAAGTGACTCTCCCCTCTGGCAAGAGGCTGCTGTCCATCAGGACCAAAACCTCTCACCACAAAAACAGCTTCTACCCGTCTGCAGTTTGTTTATTACATACAGTATCTTCTGATCTGAAGACAACCTTCCTGGTGATAACTGAATGTCTATTCAGTGCAAACAATTAGGAAACACACTGGACATAGTACATTTAATCATTTAAATTAAATTTTTTTGGAAGGGCATGGGCAAACATAATTACATTTTTGCAATATTATTGTTATTGCCATTGCACAAACATAAATAAAATGTTAAAAATTTTTGGCATTTGACTCCTTTCATGACATCCATTTGTTTGGAACCCCTTTAAACCAGAATACTGTATGTAAATGTAGCTCCATTTTAGCCAGGTTAAATGTCTAGACTGTTGTCTTGTAAATTAGTCTTGTGTTCCAAAACAAATCCAAAAGCAAATAGTTTAATTTTGTTGTGGTTATGACATCATTAGTCTGGCTAATCTTATTTAGGCATAATGAAAATTGAACCATTTTGGCACTAGCTGAGCTCAACTTATCTTTGCCTGCAAACTGGTAACACTAGTAATGTTAAACGGTCAGAGCCCTGATGTCAGTAACATTCTTGAATAACAAGTACGCTAGCTAACGTTAGACTCCATGGAAACACAAGGTACAAGGTAAATTCATATTACAACAGGGTTGTAGCATGTCTACTTATGATCTTAATAAACTTATGAGAATTAATACAAAATTATGAATTTTAATATTCAGAGAATATTAATTCACAAAGCTGTCGTTTTGTGGGGCACCACCGGAGATTTAATTCACCCAGACTCTCCGGACCTCTGGGTAGCGTTTTGATAATTATACAATTATTCACTAGTGAACAGTTAGTTAATAATCGCTCAATTATCTTAAATCAGTCAGTCTCATATCGAAGGGGTAAATTCTTGTGACAGGGACTTGGAGGTAGACAATACACACACACAATTCCTGTGATTACGGTGAAATTTATTAAATAACAAAAGGTGGATATAAATGCGGTTAAATATACATCAAAGAAATAAACAATGGCTAAACAATGAGAATGTGGGGTTCTATTGTTGGTAGAATTTGATTCATAGGGCGGAAGAGAACTAATGAAAGTAGTTACATGATACTAACTCTGTTAAATTTGTCTAGGAGTTTTAAGGATTAAAGATAATGGATTAATAGACTAATGGACATCACTGATCACAGAATGCTTTGGTTTGCCTTACTGTGGTTTGTTGGCCTGCCTTGGCCTGTTGCACAGGTCCCCACGCTAGCTGCCCGATTCCTGGCTTTCTGCTAGGGAATTTTCCGGGGGTTCTCCGTGTCTGAATGAAGGAAAATACTCCAGTGTTGACCGTCCTTGGTCTGGCAATTAGGCTGTCCTTTTTGGATGTCCTTTGTTACTGCTGGCGGGCACACGTGACTGGGAGCAGTGTAAGTTAGCTCGCTGAGTGCGTGCCGAAGTGCAGGTCAAGAGGACAAGAGAAGAGAGAGAACAAAAACGAAGAGAGACGAACAAGAGCGTGTGTCACTGCTTGTGTTTGTTGTGGCGTGGTTCCCAGAGGGGCAGTCCTTTGTTCCCCTGAGGGAGGGCTTTGTTTCCGGTTTCCTGAGAGACTGTCTTAACTTTTTAATATGTCTATTTAAAAATCTATTTGCGCATATTGTAATCAAATATCTTCCCACAATTAAACCTTAATTGTCAAACGGTTGTACCGTTCTTAGTTTTAAGCATTTGATAAAAAGGAAAACAATTGTCAGTAGTTCAACCTTAAGGTTAGCATTTCCTAGGAATCACATCAGATGAGAGGAACTTAACTAGCTTCCTGGATAATATTGGTTGTTACACGTTCTTACTTAGAGAATATAAGCAAGATACACGAATGGCATCAGATTATGAACAGGTAAATACAGAGTGACATTTAAACGGCATTTCAGAACGATGGCATGTAATACTTATTCCTGTCCACTTGGGGGAGCTCTGGTTACGTGAGGAGTAGATATTAACTTTGATTATTCTTTAAACAACCCTTTGCTACAGAGCTGGGAAATTTAGTGATTTAAAAT